AGCAACAGAATCACAGAATCCCAGCATGGTCGGGGTTGGCAGGGCCCTCTGTGGGTCACCCAGCCCAACCCCCTGCCCAAGCAGGGTCACCCAGAGCAGGCTGCACAGGACCTTGTCCAGGCGGGGCTGGAATATCTCCAGAGAAGGAGACTCCACAGCCTCCCTGGGCAGCCTGGGCCAGGGCTCCGTCACCCTCAGAGGGAAGAAGTTCTTCCTCGGGTTCAGCTGGAATACCCATACAGAAAAATGGTGGGGAATGGGACAAAGTCCCCTTGGCAAAGCACCCCGGCCACGCTGCCGGTGGAGACGCTGGAGGAGGCATCGCCGTCGCCCCGGCCGGCAGCTCCCCTCGGTCGCCTTCCCAGCCGACGGGCAGACCGCTCGAATTTAAAAAGTGCCGCGTTTCAGCATGGACCTTCCCGAGCGGCGGAGCTCCCCAGCCCTGCTCTGTCTGTTTGCAGACGGCGTCTGCCTGATCGACCCGGAGTACCTGAAGGACAGGAAAGGTATTGATGCCGAGCACCCCGCGTGGTAAGGGGAAGGGGTGGAAACCGGTGCAAAGCTCACTGGCAACCCGGGACTGCAGTCAGGCTGAAGCTGCAACGGGGCGCCTGCAGCTCGTTGTGCGTCGGGGCCGTGGAACCTGACCTGGGGGGAAGGCTGCCTCTTTCTTCTCATCTCTTCTGCCTGCAGCACCGGCTCTGAAGCTGCCCGTGCCTCGCAGAAAGACATTACGGATCTTGTTACCTTTCTATCTAGTGTTTGAGGTCCAGGTCACAGAATCACAGAATGGTCGGGGTTGGAAGGGACCTCTGTGGGTCACCCAGCCCAACCCCCTGCCGAAGCAGGGTCACCTACATCAGGCTGTAGAGGACCTTGTCCTGATAACAGAGTTATGTTTCTTCTGAAGAGTTATTGCAGTAGTTTTTCTTTCTTTCCTCTTTATTCACCCCCTTTCCCCCTGTGCCTTCCCTTTATCCCACCCCTCCCTAACCCCGCTCCCCTCCGTTTCCATCCGGCTTCAGTCTACGTGACGCTGACTTGCGCATTTCGCTACGGCCGAGATGACCTCGACGTTATCGGGTTGACCTTCAGGAAGGACATCTACGTCCTGACCACCCAGATCTTCCCACCGGTGCCAGACCAGGCGCCCAAAACCCTCACTCCTCTGCAGGAGAAGCTGATGAAGAAGCTGGGGGAGAACGCCTACCCCTTCACCTTCGAGGTAGGGGCTGCTCAGCCCTTCCTGACCACACGCCTCCATGGTGTGCACCAGGGCTCATCTCTGGGCACGCTCTTTATTTACTTTTTCCTCTCTTCCCCTTTTCTGCCCAGATTGCCACCAACCTGCCCTGCTCGGTCACCCTCCAGCCAGGACCAGACGATGTGGGAAAGGTGAGCTCCTGTCCCTGACCTGTGTCCCCTGGGCCCGTTCTCCCTGGCAGAGGGTTAAGCCGTGGGGTGCCAAAACTGAGAGCTGGGGGTCTCTTATGGGGACGTGGCCCACGGGGTGAGGGCTGGAGAAGAAGGATGGCTGGAGCTGGGAGCAGGATCTTTGGGGATGCAGTGGAGGAAGGAGGGGAATGAACCTAAACCTCAGGCAGCTCTGAGCCCCTCCTGCATAGTGACCATACGCGTTCTCCCAGGCCTGCGGCGTGGACTTCGAGGTCAAAGGATTCTGTGCTGAAAATCTGGAGGAGAAAATTCACAAGAGGTATTTGCAGGGGATCCCTTTCCAACCCCACGGCCCTAAACCCAAACCACCGGATGGCTCTGGGGTGGCCAGCGTCGGGGTCGGGCCGAGGACCTGCGGTCTGCTTGTGCCATGCTCGGATGGGGTACTTTGCCCAAAGGATGGGTATCGGTCCCTGCGTCCATGCCCACCATGTCCCAGGAGCTGGCTGCAGCTCACATCCTTTGGCTGGAGACACTGTGACGTCCCCAGAGACAGCCAACGTGTCCTCCTCGGCACCTCCCTGCCGGGGGGAGCGGGGCTGACCGCTCCCCTCCCCGCAGGAACTCGGTGCGCCTCATCATCCGCAAGATCCAGTTCGCACCCCTGAAGACGGGGCCAGCCCCGAAGTCGGAGACCACCCGGCAGTTCATGCTGTCCGACAAGCCCCTGCACCTCGAAGCCTCCCTGGATAAGGAGGTCAGGAAGGGGACCGTCCCCTGGCTCGTGCCACCACGTGCGTCCCCGGAGATGGGGACCGGGATGCCTGGTCACGTAACCGAGCCTCTTCCCACTGCAGATCTACTACCACGGAGACCCCATCAACGTGACTGTCAACATCAACAACACCACCAACAAGATCGTGAAAAAAATTAAGATTTCAGGTGAGAGGGGGGAGGAGGGGCATGTCCCGGCGCCCACCGCGTCCCGGCCTCCCCGTCGGAGATGGGGACCGCAGGCGCGTGCCTCCGCCGCGTCGCCAAGGCTGGTCCCTCCCGTCCCTCTGCAGTCGACCAGATCACAGACGTGGTCCTCTATTCGCTGGATAAATACACAAAGACTGTGTGCACCGAGGAGATAAAGTAAGTAAAGAGGGGCTGGGGGTGGCGCGGTATCGCTGCCAGAAAGAGGAATAGAAAGGAGGAGGAGGAAGGGGAGTGATGGGGAGAGGGGGTGGGGAAGGTGGTTTTACACCAGGCAGCAAAACCATCAGGGTTAGAAGAGCAGACACAGAGGAAGCAGCGGGGAGGGGAGGCTGCGGACAACGTGCGCCCCGGCCCTGCTGATGCTGAGCATCCCCGGAGGGTGCTGGGCACCCACCACGCTGGTGCCGGCTCTGAGCTCTCCTCTCCCACCCCTTCCAGCGAGAACGTGCCGGCCAACTCCACCTTCTCCAAAACATACTCCGTCACCCCCACGCTCGCGGCCAACCGTGAGAAGCGAGGCCTCGCCCTCGACGGCAAGCTCAAGCACGAGGACACCAACCTGGCCTCCTCCACCATGTAAGAGCCGGGTGGGCTCCCCCCGCTCCCCGCCAGGGCCGGGCTGTGCCTTCCCCCCTCTGCGACAGCTGCCCACTGCTCGGGGTGCTCTGGGCTCCCACCAAGGGTCTCCCACACCTCCTGTGCCCGAGCCCAGCTGGAAAACGTAAGGATTTTATGACATGGCCACAGACCCACTTCTCCACCTCGCAGGAGACGTAGCCTCCCAGTCCCAACCATCATCCAAAGCCCCCATATCGCTCTCCAGAGCTGCATCAGGTCCCGTCTTGGGGGTAAATCCCAGCTCAGGCAGCCTAAGTGGCCTCCAGAAACTGCTCTGCGGCTTCAGCCTCCCCTCTCTCTTACTGCCACGCTGTGTTGTCCTCTCCTGCCAGAGCCCAGGGTGCCCCACGCAAAACAGGGCTCGGAGACAGCCCCGGGCGCTGCCCGCCTCACAGCTCTGCTCTGCCTTTCTCCTAGCCTGAGACCCGGCATGGACAAGGAGGTGCTGGGCATCCTGGTGTCCTACAAAGTGAAGGTCAACCTGGTGGTGTCCCGAGGAGGGTGAGGCTCTGCGGGCGCGGGGACCGTCCCCTTGGGCCGTGCAGTGGGATCTTGTACCACCGGGCAGATGATGCAGGGACTCGCGCCATGGGACCCCTCATCCCTGCCCCGGGGGGACAGCTGGGCGCTGGGCTGCTCTCCAACTCCCTCGCCTCCATCCCCATCACCGCTGCCCTTCACCACTGTTATAAATCTTCTTCTACCTCATCAGAAAGCAAAGTCTAACCCCTCCCCTCCTCTGCCCTGGCTGATTTCTGTCCCTCCCCCCCCCCTGCCGCAGCATCCTGGGGGATCTCACCTCCAGGTAAGGGGGGGCTGCCCGCGGGGCTGGGCGCGGTGCGGTGCCGGGCGGGTTTATTGGAAGAAGCGCTTTCCCTTCCAGCGACGTCGGCGTCGAGGTGCCTGTCATCCTGATGCACCCGAAGCCTGCGGACGGTAAGCAGCGCCTGGGACGCTGCCGAAACGCCGGGGAGGAAGAGGCAGTCTCCATGCTGGGGGGGAAAGGACCCTGCTCTGCCCCAGCACCCCGGGGTTTTGGGATGGGCAGAGCTGCTCCGTCCGGGACCACGGAGCTACTCCGCTCTCGTGAGACCCCACCTGGAGTCCTGCGTCCAGCTCTGGGGCCCCCAACACAAGGACGTGGATGTGTTGGAGCGGGGCCAGAGCAGGGCCACGAAGATGAGCCGAGGGCTGGAGCACCTCTCCTACGAGGACAGGCTGAGGGAGCTGGGGCTGTTCAGCCTGGAGAAGAGAAGGCTCCAGGG